TTTGGTGTTTAAACCTAACAGGCGACAACATTTCCAGCGACACTGAAAACCCTCTGGGACGGTGCGCTCGGAGGAGCGACTGGAATGCAGGTTGCTCCACAGTGGAAAATGGCAGCATTTCTTCAACCCGGTACTGTGTAACTAGGGCTGCAACGATTAGTCGACGTTGTCGACAAAAATCGATGATAGAAATTGTCAACAATGAATTCCATTGTCGACTATTGTCGCCAGACGCGTTTTTCCAACAGAGTGAGGCATCTCACTTGATTATGATCTCTGCCGAGAGTCGCTCATGCGCAGTAGTGTCTCTGTCTCTGAGCGGTAACATACAAATATGGCGGCGTCAATATCAGGTACGAGTACCAAGACTTCTAAAGTTTGGGAGCATTTTAGCCTGGATACGGCGAATAAAAAGATTACTTGCAAGGTTTGCAAAGCACGAACATTTAAAGAGAAAGCACGTCGGGGAGTTGAATGAAACGGAGTCTGACTCGCCTCGGTATGATGCAAGTAACATTCAAGCCAATGCAGTTTTAATGACATACATTGTGCATTTTATTAGTGCATCTTTGGCTAGTAAAAAGTGCTTGAGTGTTATGCCAGACTGCCTGACAAACATATTTTAAATTAAATGCACGCAGTCCGAAGAAGAGAAGCACCATGGACCCCTTCCTTCAAAGGAGGCAGACGTACACCCCGCAACAGGCGGCTGCCCTCACTGAGTCAGTACTGCAGATGCTCATCTATGATATGAGGCCACTCTCCATGGTTGACGGTGCTGGGTTTCAACAGATGATAGCCCAGTTCATATGGAGAGATATTTGTGCCATCGGTTTGAGCACGCAGGAACCAATCTGAGCGAGCAGTGAGACAACACGCGCGCACGCAAAACCGGTCTGGCGCGCGCTCAACTCTGAAAAACCCTCTCAACACACTGTTCTCGCGCTCAGTTTCATCTCTGCTCGTGCTCGAATCCGTCTCTGCTCGCGCTTGACCTGCTCTCTCCGCGCTCAACACCAGCTGTGCACTCGGCTGTTTCTCCGCTCGCTCGACTCTCTGCGCTCGCAACTTCAGCAATGTATGTAAATGAACCATACCATCAGCCAATCACGCTCAGCTTCTTTTCATCCAATAAAAGCATTTGTTCCTTCTTCTTCTTCTTCTTTTCTATCATGGCGGATCGCAAGCAACCTTAAGGTGCATACCGCCACCTACTGTTCATGAGTGTGTAGCAACATTGTTTTACATCTATTAAATTCTATTTTTAAATTTTGTATTCTGAAGATAACTAAGTAATGCTTTCCTTAATCTAAAAATATCCTTTATATTTCCTTTATTTCCCAATAATCCTTTGAGACTCCACTCTTGGCCTGTCCTTTCAACTACTCTTCTCAATTTCTCCCTTTCAGGTTCATATGTTTTACAGTTCATCAATACGTAAGCATTCGTTCCAAATACTACATCCTGTTAAATGAAAAAAATTTAAATAAAAACACAATCAGGAAAATCAAACAACTCTTACAGTTATTTGGTCAACACTCCTAACCATTTGATGGACAGAAGATAGTACTATAAAATATCTTGAATTATCTCAAATAAACTTCAGTAAAACAGTTATTAGATCATTGCCTCATCCATCTCTTTTACCTGCTATTGACATGGATTTAAATTTGCTGTTTTAAAAGAAAAATAAGGTGGATATTTCAGGTTCAAGTATGGTTTAACAATATATAGATAATGTTTTGGATCATATTGGCCTTACTCTTAGCTTTTGTTGCGGGTGTTTCTTCTTCACAGGATTTGTTTAATTTTTCCCATGTTATGGGGGAGCAGATTATATCAGGTGGTTAAAATATATGATTTCCCCTTCATAACTTTGGCAAATAATGATCAAATGTCTCCACAGAGCTTGTTGTTGAAGAAAGAAATAAAAACAGTTAAAGACTTGCTAATGCTTATTTATTCTCCAGGTGCACAGTTTTATATTGTTAAAACACTTTACAGTACAGTATTTTATTGTTTATATTTTAACTCTTCTCTATTATTTTATTCTTATACATTTTTCCTAAGTCAACATTTGTGTGACCATTTTCAATAATCTTTCTGCTGCTGTAAATTTACAGCTAAAACCTTTAGACAAATCAAACTTCACCGCCACATATCTGACTCTATAACCATTTAAAAACAACTATCTTTATTAATTTCAGACGGAACTTTTCACATACTTGGATTATGTTAAACTGAACTTCCGATATTCACCACTGTTTGGCGCCAAGAGCCATTTCCTGTAATCAAGGAGCAGTCGGCTTGCTTGGACTTGCAATGGATCCTGAGATATCCAAGGATAGAGAGGATACATCAGACGAATCCTTCAAATTGGGCAAAAAGAAGGAATCATTTGTAGGTCGCATAACGAGGAGTCTTGGAATCCGACCAGACCTCCGCGCCGCGCTATGACATAATCGTCCTTCGAAATCTGGCCTTCAGAGAACGGAGCAAATAAATTCAAACTGAGCATAAGTGTCCAAAGCTCAAAATCAAATGTCCAGATAAGGTCAAAGGTCAAGAATCACAAACAAGCTTTACTTTTATTACAAACTTATGCCAACAACTGTTTTTTTTTTTTCTTTTTTTTAGATTTTAAATTTACTCTACTTTTTTACATCTAAACAAATAAAGACCTTTTCTTACCACACAGGAAAAGATAAGAAGTAAAAATAACTAAAATGCCACAAACAAATTACATCTGACATAAACTCAGAGACATCAAAGTAAAAACGAAATATTATATTTTTATGTCTTTTTAAGAATGTATTGAAATTACAAATATTTCACAAGAAATCATGACAATGCAAAAAATAATGTTAGAAATCCCAAATTATTTCTAAATAAATCATATAAAATTATATATTTTTCATATTGTTTTCAGATTTTTCCAGTTTTCTTTATGAAAAAGTATGTGAAACATGTACAAACAGATTTAATATCATTTAACAATCATTGACTACTCTTCCCTCTTCATTCTTCAATCATGCTATTTGATCACTAAAAGTGATAAAGAATTATGAATTTGATTATGATGCTTAACATATTTCAATATTTAAAATTATCTAAAAAGTGTGGTAAGCATCTACATCATTAATTAGTAAATTAGACTGTGTTTTCTTTTACGATAAATTCACTTTTGGAAAAAATAAATCCTTATAAACCAGCTACGAACTTACTTTTAATTATATTCTGATGTAATAAGCAGGTATTTGTATTAAACTCTGCAGAACCAGAACTCTGTAGAATTATTCTTTGAGATCTCTTTAATATTTACTGATTCAGTCTTTCAGGTTAGTCAGAATCTCCCAGATTTTTTCACACATTTTAGGGTCTTTGCTTCTTTTCAAGGTCTTCTCCAGCTCCTTGATGCTTGTTTGTCGATACTCTGATTCCCATGGAATCTTTGCCGCCATCATGTGGTACTCAATAGACCTGTAATTATCCTTTCTATTGTAGAATAAATATTTAGCATGACAGTTGTAAAGCATCTGTTCCTCTGCTAAATCCAGGTTATTTCTATTCAGCATCTCTCTATAAATCTGTTCAGCTTTCTCTTTATCCATCATTGCATATAAATTAGCTAGAGTTATTTGATCTCTAAGATTAGATTCACCATAGAGATCAATCTTCTCCTCCCAGAGACTAATGGCTCGTGTGACGATGCCGCTTTGACTACTGGGTTTGAAGTCTGGGGAAAGGACTTTATTCCTGTAGCAGATGGCAGCCAATCCCTTTGCATGAGGCCAGTCAGGATATCTTCTAAGGGCCTCATCAGCTAACTTGATACCTTCATCCGTAGACATATAGTCAACATACAGTCGCCTTAAGTGGCTGATGCCATTGTAACTGCTTGGAGAACTTTCTAGGATCCTTTCCGCCAATCTTTTAGCTTCATCCTGAATTTGTTCTCCTTTTGCAGCTCGTGCCCTCAGGTAAAGAGCAGCAACATATAAGTTGTCTGGATCTTGTTCAGTGGCAGATCTCACTTTTTCCAAGACATAGGGAGGCATGTCTTCCATGTTGTCTAGGAAGGGATCTGCCAATAATATGACCCAGCTGCTCTGCCATTCCACGTTATCTGGCTGCATCTTCACGGCTCTCTGGATTAGCTCTGCAGCCTCCAGCTTCTTCTCTTGGTCAAGCTTCATCAGGGTCCAGGCCTTCTCCGCACAGACCTCTGGGTGGAGGTCTTCTTCAGGTGGAGCTGGGTATTCTCTCATCAGAGCTTCAACTTTTGACAGGTAATCCTGACTCTTCTCATCCTCACCCATACGGTGGTGCAGCCAAGCCAGATTCCCAAAGTTCACCATTAACCAGGGACCTTCATCAGAGTTTTTAAGACGCTGGAAGGTCTCAGTGGCTCGTCTGAAGAACTTCAGGGCCTCTTCAGAGGAGTCCAGCTGGTACTCTATGAACCCCTGCAGGTTGTAGATGTGACCCAGCCAGACGTTTCCTTCATCTGTGCCGATGTCCTCCAGTACATCCCTGAGATAGTTCAGTTTCAACTTGGAAAGTTCTAGATCCCAGGTGAAGTGGCACTGCAAGGTGTTCAGTTTGGATTCCAAGGCCTCTGTAGAACTGATGAGAAAAGAAGAGTAATTAGATTTTGCCTTTTAGTTCTTTTTCTTCATGTATAGCAACCTGAATGGTCACGGTATGGAATTGTGCTAAGTAAATACACTTTCTGTGTCTTACAGAAGAGCTCAGAATTTGAAGTATAATACAAATGAACTGATGACCATAGATGACAGTAGGAACGTAGATTGACCGGTAAATCGAGAGCTTTGCTTTTTGGCTTAGCTCTCTCTTAACCCCCACAGACCGGTACAGTGCGCGCTTCACAGCAGATGCTGCACCAATCTGCCTATTGATCTCCCACTCCATCTTCCCCTTATTCGTGAAGAAGACCCCAAGATACTTAAACTCCTCCAGTAGGTGCAGTACATCCCCCCAAACCCAGAGAACGCACTCTACCCTTTTCCGGCTCAAGACCATGGTCTCGGATTTGGAGGAACTGATCCTCATCCCTGCCACTTCACACTCGGCTGTGAATCGCTCCAGTGAGAGCTGCAGATCATGCCCTGATAAAGACAATAGAACCACATCATCTGCGAAAAACAGAGTCGCAATCCTGAGGCCACCAAAAGAGATCCCCTCAACACCTTGGTTGCGCCTAGAAATTCTGTCCATACAAGTTATGAACAGACAAAGGGCAACCTTGGCAGGAGTCCAACCCTCACCAGAAATCAGTTTGACTTATAGCAGTCAGTGCAGACCAGGCTCTGGCAGCGGTCATAGAGAGACCTAACAGGCCTTATTAAAGGGCCTAGTACTCCATACTTCTGGAGTACCGCCCACAGGACACTAAGAGGCACAAAAACAAATGCCTTCTCCACAAAATACATGTAGACTGGTTGGGAAAACTCCTATGCACCCTCCAGGATCCTGCTCAGGTTGTAGAGCTGATCCAGTGTTCCACGGCCAGAACGAAAACCACACTGCTCCTCCTGAATCCGAGATTCGACTATCAGATGGACCCTCCTTTCAAGAACCCTGGAATAGACCTTACCAGGGAGGCTTAAGAGTGCGATTCCTCTGTAGTCAAAACACACCCTCCGGTCCCCCTTTTTAAATAGAGGGACTACCACCCCAGTCTGCCAATCCAGGGGAATTGCCCCTGATGTCCAGGCAATGTTGCAGAGTTGCGTTAACCAACACAGCCTCACAACATCCAGACCCTTAAGGTACTGAGGGTGAATCTCATCCATCCCCTGGGGCCTTTCCACAGATGAGCTTTTTAACCACCTCTGTAACCTCAGCACCAGAGATGGGAGAACCCAACCTGGAGCCCCAAGGCTCTGCTTCCTCAATGGAAGACTTGTTGGTGGGATTAAGGAGGTATTCAAAGTACTCTGCCCACAGACATACGATGTCCTGAGTTGAGGTAAGCAGCAAACCACACCTACTATAAATAGTGTTGGTACTGCACTGCTTCGCCCTCCTGGGACCCCGGAGTTTTGGCCAGAATCGCTTTGACGCCATACGGAAGTCTTTCTCCATGCCTGGGTTTTTGCTTTAGCGACCAAATCCAATGGAGCACATCAGCTGCCTCTGGAGTCCCACAGGTCAAAAAAGCCAGATAGGACTTATTCTTCAGCTTGACAGCTTCCTTCACCGCTGGTTACCACCAGTGTATTTGAGGGTTGCCGCCACGACATGCACTGGTAACACCTTGCAGCCACAGCTCAACTAGCCGCTTTAACAATAGAGGCACGGAACATGGTCCACTCAGACTTAATGTCGCCCACTTCCCTCAGAACATGTTCAAAGCTCTCCTGGAGGTGGGAGTTAAAGCTCCTTCTCACGGGGGACTCTGCCATACATTTCCAGCAAACTCTCACAATATGTTTGGACCGGACCAGGTCTGACTTGTATCTTCCCCCTCTATCGAAGCCACCTTACCACCATATAGTGGTGGGTGGAGAGCTACGCCCCTGTCTTTACCCGAGTGTCCAAGACAGGGATGTCAAACTGGTTCCAGAAAGGGCCGTGTGGCTGCAGGTTTTCTTTCCAACCAAGCAATAGCACACCAGACTCCAGTCATCTCATCAAGCCATCATGTTAAGACTGGACTAATAACTCATGTTATGCTGCCGACTCCTGTTCAGCGCTTCTCACCAGGGAAACTCAAAGTGGAAGAATGGCCAGCCCTTCTCAAGGAGACTGGTTCCAGAGCAAGAGCCATGCGTGAAAGGGTCTGGAGAAGCCGTGTAGAATGTTATGCTGCCTGTAACATCGTTCAGCTTGACCGGTTTTGTGTTGGATCAGTGATGGTCTGGGGAGCATATCCATGGAGGGACGCACAGACCTATACAGGCTAGACAACGGCACCCTGACTGCCATTAGGTATTGGGATGAAATCCTTGCACCCATTGTCAGACCCTATGCTGGTGCAGTGGATCCTGGGTTCCTCCTGGTGCACGACAATGCCCTGCCTCATGTGGCGAGAGCATGCGGGCAGTTCCTGGAGGATGAAGGAATTGATACCATTGATTGGACCCCGACGCTCGCCTGACCTAAATCCAATAGAACACCTCTGGGACATTATGTTTCGATCCATCCGACGCCACCAGGTTGACCTCAGACTGTCCAGGAGCTCAGACAATGCCCTAGTCCAGATCTGGGAGGAGATACCCCAGGACGCCATCCATTGTCTCATTAGGAGCATGCCCCGACGTTGTCAGGCATGTATATGCACACGTGGGGGCCATACAAATTACTGAATATCATTCTGAGTTGCTGCAATTAAATTTCAGCAAAATAGACTAGCCTGCCGCATCATTTTTTAACGTAATTTTTGGGGTGTCTTTGAAATTAGCCCTCTGTAGGTTAATCATTTTCATTTCCATCAAATGATGTGGCTTCCTTTTGTACCTAACACATCACCCAGTCCATATCAGTATAAATAAACACCATGATTTTTTCCCCATTGAGATCTGATGGGTTTTCAAAGTGTTCCTTTAATTTTTTTGAGCAGTGTATGTGTTTTAATACTTCTGCATCAACAGGTGAATCGATATTTGCTGTTGAGTTTAACCTTTGCATCCTGTAAGGATAAATAAAAATATCAAGCCTACTTTAATAGCCTTGATATTGGTAAGGTGTGTCTCTCCTCTGTGAGTAAATAAAATGCATATGCAGAAGTTATGTCCCATTCTTCATGTCGACCACAATTTGGGAAAGGCCAATACAATATGAGGAGGTACTTAGCTTGCTATAAAGATTTTAGATCCCCACCTCTCGCTCTCTTCCTGTGGACCTTGCCCATGCTGCATTATCAAATATCTAGGCTTTCATTGCAGGCTGAGGGATTTCACTCTTCAAAGGGTTAAGTCAAGTTCAGCAGACCTGATACTTGCAGAACCATGTTGCTTTGAACAGACTGTGCAAAATTCCTTCTTCAAATTTGCAGGAGTACCTTTCAGCCAAAGGTGAGAGAGACTGATGAATCCTCAATTGTCCAAAACCATCACATAATTTTAAGATCAATTATCAAAATGGATGTTGATCTTTGATTAAAAAACTCATTTTGTGAAATATTATTTTTCCAGATAATTATTTATTTTCCTCTTGGATTTGCTTTGTAAATTGGTTTGAAAACTAAAGTTGCTCTAAATTAGGTTTAAAGCTAATTTGACCTCATTCCAGTCTCTTTAAGTTAAACTTTAACCCTCAAACACAAACTCCCTGCTGAACTGAGATATCATTGCAACATTTTATAGATATTACTATTTTTATTTGCGTTTTTCTTCTATGTGAACTTAGTAGCTACTTGGTTTAGTTTAGTTTCATCAGTTAAGGGTTTTTAACTAAAATATATCAGACCTGGAGTTGAAGTATTTTGTTAACCAATGTTTATATTTTGAATGGAGGTTGTTGTGAATGTATTCCGTATCTGTGCACAGTTATCTCCTTGACCATTATTTGAGGTCGAATCACACTTTCATCTTTTGTCCATACACAGCCAGTTGGGAGTGTGTTCACAGGACAACATAAACTATGACAGTATAAAAGTTGTTACTGCTCTGACTTTATATGTTATATAAACTGACTTTATATGTTATATAAAGTCAGAGCACTATATAAAACATATAAAGTAAGAGCAGTAAGTACATAACAATCCATCATTGAGACTGGTGTCTGTTCAGTCAGACATTTCTGTCTGGAAAATGATCAAAATCAGAATGATGAGCATTAAACAGAAACTGCTCCAGTTTTAGTTTGATATTAACTATGTGAACAGATTACTGTTAAATCTTGACTAACTGAAAACCTGTGCATGTAAAATGAGCAGAAAGAGTGACTCACCTCATCTTTCAGCTGTTTGATGTCTGTAGTGATTAAAACCTTCTCAGGTTCTGCTCTTATTTATTCTCGCATCCTAAAGGGGCAGCACCATAAAGATATGTAATCCCTGTCCTGGTAATTATTATCTCAAGCTGAAGGTTTATGCTCTCATTTCCTATGAAATAGAAACTCACAGAAACATTTTAATTTCCTGGAGGAGGTCAAAACTTAACTGAGATGGATTCTGGCCATAAACCAACGGTATGAAGGCCTGAAGGTTATATGGTTATGCTTATTAAAAGGATAGTTCGGTATTTTTGACATGAATCTGTATGGCATACCCATCACCAGTGGCATGCAATCACACTGACTTACCCCTGAAAGCATCCTGTGAGCAGAGTTATCGTCCAGTTTTGGTCAAGCCAAAAGTAGTCCGGCAGGTTT